GAGAAAGGGGACAGATGTAATACTTTCAACAATAAAGATTAAAAATAAATAAATAAAAATTTAAAAATACACAGGCATTTCAAGGTGGGGCTGGATTAAATCTAGTCTCAAGTCCAAGTTGCTTTGGGCATGCCTTGTCCATCTCTTTCTCGCCCTCTGGTTCCCCTGATCCTGTGACTGGCATGGCTGCCATCTAACCAGCCATCATCACATACTGCATGCAAGTCTGTCTGTGTGTGTGTGTACACACCACAATACATTTCTGGAGGAATCCTTTATGGTTCCTGCTGTGTAAACGCAAGAGAATTTTCCTCCTCTTCTTCCTCCTTGCCCTCAGAAACACCGAAGATGGAATTTGTTCTTAAGAATTTCCCTGTCTTCCACAGAAGCCCTGTTACGGAACCCAATCAGACTATTACGAAATGCAATGAGCCATTGTTCACGGGTCAGGAGATTTGGCTCGAAGAATTGTGTCTGTCCATCAGCCACACTTACTGAGCGTCCCCTGGAGATGGAGGAAATGTCAAACACTGAAGCAAACAGTTTCCAAGCAAACGGAACCCCCCCCCCCCCGGTGCCTCGGAGAAACTGCCAATGTCACGGTTGCAGCCCTCCTTGTCCTCACTCCGGGTTTATTTCACCCTGTCAAGTGGCGGGATTGAAGTATTTGATATGCTGGTGATCTCCAAGCTCCCAATACAGAGCTAAAGCCCCAAATCCAAGTCCTAGGTGATACCCAAGTCACCCTGTTGGGAGAGATCCCAGATTCTGGAGGTAAGTCGGATGCCTGAGGAGGGTCCCAGGCGTCTGGGCCTAGAGCACCTCAAGGAAGGACAAGGCCTACAGTGGGGGCTCCCCCTTCCTATGGGGCATCCTATTGTTAGTTCTCTGCATGTTGACTCCTAGCAGAGGGAGACATTAAAACCCAGCCATACAGACTGATGCTCACTCCCATCACAGTAATCAAATCCCTGCTTGTGGGGCACATACCCCCGCATTTCCGAGTGACATGCAAAATGTGATGCTGAAATCAACATTGTCAGAGAAAAAAATTAGGCCATATAAGATGGACTTGAAGGCTCTTGTGTTAAATCTGGACATTAGATTTTTATGCATATGATTTTCACTTTTCCAGAAAGATCCTGCCCGGCCACTGTGGCTCAGTGGTTGAGTGTTGACCCAGGAACCAAGAGGTCACCGGTTCGATTCCCGATCAGGGCACGTGCCCGGGTTGCGGGCTCGATCCCAGTGGAGATGTTGAGTGTTGACCCAGGAACCAAGAGGTCACCGGTTCGATTCCCGATCAGGGCACGTGCCCGGGTTGCGGGCTCGATCCCCAGTGGAGATGTGTGCAGGAGGCACCTGATCGATGATGTTCTTCTCTCATCGATGTTTCTCTCTCTCTATCCCTCTCCCCTCCTCTCTGTAAAAATCAATAAAGACATATATCCTATATAATAAAAGGGTAATATGCAAATCGACCAAACGGCAGAACAACCGGTCGCTATGATGCTCACTGACCACCAGGGGGCAGACGCTCAATGCAGGAGCGCCCCTCAGCCAGAAGCCGGGCTGATGGCTGGCGAGCGCAGCGGCGGTGGTGAGAGCCTCTCCCGCCTCCGTGGCAGCGCTAAGGCTGTCCGACTGGCAGCTTAGGGCCGCTCCCCATCAGTTGGACATCCCCCAAGGGCTCCCGGACTGCGAATGTCGTGCACCGGGCCTCTAGTTTATGTATATATATAAAAAAAGATCCTTATTGTTTTGGTCAAATGGGTGGGAAGGGGAGTCACTGCTTTGTGAGTTTAGGGAGAGAATACCTGTTTCCTGGGTCCCGGCATTTTTCTTGTTGGCCATGTTAAAGATGGACCTCCTGGAATCCACAAGTAGCCGGTAGTATCCAGCTGTTAAGCAGGCCAAGTTCATGGCGTCGGATGATTCCATTAGCAGCGTGATGGGCTACACAAAAGAGAACGACTTGGTTAAAGCCATCTCTCCTGGCTCTCTTCCCTCAGGTGACAACGACTGCATTTGTGCATAGGAAATGTAAACAATAAAAGTTATTGAGCAACCACTTCATCAGAAAAACAGAAATGTGGGGAAAAGGTCAGGCGTAACACAGAGAGCCTGACTGAGAAACATGTAGGTGGCATCATTTTAAAACCTAGACATTTTGAATCTTTTCCAAGTCCAGAAAGAAAACAACATTGGTTTTGTGCCCAAACAGTTAACATTTTAAAAAAGTGATAGTTAAGGAGTTTGTTAGCAGATCTGAATCCACAATCTGAAAAATCATAGGAAGTGAAGTTTGGGTTCATGATGAAAATTAGTGTTGAAGTAAAAATGAAGTGGAAATTACTGCTAAGACGGAACAAAAAGTGTCAAATAGATCCAGAAAGAGGCTGCTTCTAAAAGAAACTGTCAATTAACAGGAGGTCAAAGGAGAGATGAGAAAAGGCCTTGCTAAAAAATAAAACTTTCTGGAAACAGTGAGGTTCTTATTTCCTGGTACATGGATCTTTGGGTCGCGAACAATGAAAATAAATCCTGCATATCAGATATTTACATTACGATTTATAACAGTAGCAACGAAAATAATTTTATGGTTGGGGGTCACCACAACATGAGGAACTGTATTAAAGGGTCGCGGCATTAGGAAGGTTGAGAACCACTGGAATATAGGGAAGGAAATGTTCAATTTAAGCAACTATTCTCATTGAGTTAGGAAGGGTAGAGGGGCTGGCGTGCTCTTGCTGAGACAAAGCAAGAGGGAAATAAGAGAACAACAAAAAAGCAGACACCCAGTAGACACAGAAATAGCGAGATGATAGGCCTCTTGCTTTCGCTCCCACTGGTGGAATCTAACTTCCCACCCAAAGCTGCTCTACTAGTTACTGAACTGCCTTTTCCTCCCATTTCAATTGAGGCCTCCTCTCAAGCCACCCACAATTATTTTTAGGGGCAGGAAACCATGGATGGGGTCTTGCCACCCACTTCTGTTTGGGACAGATTATGCCTAGTTAGCAGGTCTGTGATGACTGCATCCAATTCATCCTTTTCCCATGATGAGCTATTGTTTTCAGCATCTTTGATCATAGACCAGGCAGGCATTCCAAGTCTACTCTTGTACATTGAAGACAAAGAGAGTCCCTGGGTTTAGCCCATGAAATCCCATGGACCATGGCCAACATGGCGGAGCTGCACATTCTCTCTCTTGTTTTAAAAAAATATATTTTATTGATTTTTCACAGAGAGGAAGAGAGAGGAATAGAGAGTTAGAAACATTGATGAGAGAGAAACATCGATCAGCTGCCTCCTGCACACTCCCTACTGGGGATGTGCCCGCAACCAAGGTACATGCCCTTGACCGGAATCGAACCTGGGACACTTGAGTCCGCAGGCTGATGCTCTATTCACTGAGCCAAACCGGTCAGGGCTTGAGGTCATCTCTTCCTGCTGCAGAGCACTGATGCTGTCCACTCTGTTGTGTAGAAACCCTGTCCCATATTCTCAGTTCCTCTTAATCCGCTCTGCCCATGCCACCGTGGTGGGAGTGGGTCCCCCCTGCCTGTTCTCAGAGCACTTCCGGTTGACAGTGTTTGCTTTGTGGAGTCACTGCCTCTCTTCCGGTCAGTGCCTCTCTCTACACAAACACTGGATACATCAACAATGCCCCAATCCAACAACTCATCTATTACTGGGACAAGAAGGTGGGGCCAGGGGGCCTTGATCACTTCCTAACAACTTCTGTTTGGGGAGTACAGCTTTACCCCTTGAGGACGATCTCAGATTGTTGTTTTAAATGGAATGGCCATGACATTCATAGGAATCAGGACCCATTGCTCTAGTATGAAAAGACAGACTGACTAAAATGCTCAGCTTTTCCAAAAGCATAAACACAGGGGACCAGATCTAACGCAAGGGAGTGGGAGTTCTAATCAGAGTTGGGGGAAATCTCCCTGTCTATACAAGACTCATACATTCTAAAAAGTTAGAAGCGAAAAATCTCTCCCACTCTCTCTGACTCATGCATTCCGGAGCTGAAAGGACCTTAGAAATGAACTTGCTTGCTCTCTTACATAGACAAGAAGAAACCGAGCTGAGGGAAGAAGAGCGACTTGTCCCTGTGAGTTGGGTGGATTTTTTTTCTTTGATGCTCTGGACACATGGACATTCTACATGCTTTGTAAGTAGCAGCAGCGTAGCACAAATGGGCTGCTCCAGTCAAGGCCATGTGCCAACATCCGGCCGACTTACCTTCACGTCCAGCACATGGAGCTCCACCCTCACCAAGCTCTCCTCTTCGGTAAACATCTCGATCCTGTTCACATGGCTGAAGTCAGCTAAGAGAGCCACCAGGTTGGTTTTGGTGTTTATGACGTGGCTTATGCCATATCGGGGCCCCACCAGGAGGGTCACTTCCGAGCGCTTTTCTGCCTGCTGAGAAAGGGACATTGACAAAATATAAAAATATTAGACTTCTAAAACCCGAGAGAATGTGTTTATAAAACTGCATTTTCTTTTTTAATAGATTTTTATGGAGTTCAGAGAGGAAGGGAGAGGGAGAGAGAGAGAAACATTAATGATGAGAAAGAATCATTGATCGGCTGCCTCTTACATGCTCCCCACTGGGGATGGAGCCCGCAACCCGGGCCTGTGCCCTGACTGGGAATCGAACCCTGATCTCCTGGTTCATAGGTTGATGCTCAACCCCTGAGCCATGCTGGCTGGGCAAAACTCCATTTTCTTTAGAAAGCATTTCTAGGTTTTATTGTACTAAGTCACCCAATTAGAAGAACCAGATATATGACTGCATTGAGGCTCTGATAAATTAAGAATAATGTAGAAAGTCAATGTTGCCATAGCATGTACATTCATAATCATGAGAGGTTTTTAGAAATGAGAAATTTTTTTTTATGTGAAAGCAACTTTTGGCCCAATGACTGAGAGGAGGGCCATGGTCAGAGTACGTCACTTCTGGGTCTTCCCATTCCCTTTCCCAGGGCGCTCTGCGGTGCTGTGTCTGGTTTAACATTTCTTCCCACAGTTCAGACTGTGGTGCAGTGAATTAGAAACAAAGGCTGGCAAGTATTCACAGCTGACTTGTTTCTGTCATCAAGAGTAACTCATTCAAGACAGCCCCTGCAGTGACATTTCCAGGCCTCCATGACTTTCCAGAAAAAGCAAAACAAAAAACAAAACAAAAAAAGAAAGAAAAGAAAAAAGAAAGAACTTACCACTAGTGTTGCCTTGAACACACGGCCCCCATACAGACGAAGGTCACTGAGGAACTTGAGATAATGGACCTTGGCTTGCAGGGCAGAGAGCTGTGGGGAGAGAAGAGACATCAGGTGTGAACTCCATTGGGTGTGACTCCATTCCTGCCGAAGACCAGCTGAAAACCAGGGCAAACGAGATGACTGCCAACGGGCGCATGTGACAAGGACTCGTCATGAAAAATGAAATAAAATCGCTCTGTATTTGGCTTCCTGATGAAGGGCGGCGGCAGGACATTTGGATTAAATTTGTTTTATTTTGGGGAAATGTATGGGGGACTCATAAGTACAGGGGCGCTGGGCCAGGGCACTCAACAAAGTGAGAACAAGCCCTGGTCAGTTTGGCTCAGTGGATAGAGCATCGACCTGTGGACTAAAGGGTCCCAGGTTCGATTCCAGTCAAGGGCACATGCCCAGGTTGCGGGCTTGATCCCCAGTGGGGAGCATGCAGGAGGCAGCCAATCAATGATTCTGTCTCATGTTTCTATCTCTCTCTCCCTCTTCCTTCCTCTAGGAAATTAATTTAAAAATATTTTTTTTTAAAAAGTGAGAACAAGATGATAACATTTTCCACTGAAACATCTACTCATAAGGAGGTTTCAAAAGGCGAGTGATGTCTCCAACTGCAATCAGGGACAAAGGCAGTTGTACATTCTCCCACCCACAGGAGACCTGCCTGTATACGGTTTGTGGGAGCGGTTTTGAATACACACCTGCCATCTATCTAAAGCCTTTAAACAGGCTCTACACGCCCAGGTCAAGTTTCTCACAGTCTTTGCAAGTTTTTAGGGGAAAATGAACTTCCTAAGCATTGTGGGAGTGTTGGAACTTGCTCTCTAAGTCCCTGTTTCATTCATTCGACTCCGGGAATCTATTGAGGTTCATGACTGATTCACAAACGAAATTTTATCCAGATGAAATTTATCTTCAGAAAGACTTAAATATGTAGATTCCCACGTCATAAAAAAGTACTTGATTAAAAAAAAACAGTCCATGGTTCATACTGAACGTGCCAGGAATGTTTGTTGGGGGCGAGATTTCCAACAAGCCTAGACCCTCAGTAGCAGTGACTGTTTTCAATCGGACGTGACTTGCCAACTCATTGGTTAACTCACCTAAGCGCACTACCCTTTATGCAACTGGCATTTAGGACTGTTCATCCATCCTATTTCTTTTAAAAACCCCAAGCAATTTGCAAATCGATGTGAAAGCAAACCTACCTTGGCTAGAAGGAATGACCTTTATAGACAGATCAATCTTAGAGCAGGCATCCAAATTAGAAAACCAGTGGGCCAGGCTTGAAAAAAACCCCTATCAAGTTAGTCAAAAGAAATGAGCTTTGGGCAAATCAGATCTGAAATTTTAAAAATCTTGATCTGTGATGTCCTGCTACATTTCTATGAGCTGAATGGTTCCAGGAACCAGAAGTAAGTTGAAGGGGCAGATAGTATGTTGAATGGGATTATTTGTTTAAAAAAGCCATGGGGTGGGGGGAGAAAGGGGTCCTAATATGAGGTGACAGGAGAAGATGTGACTTTGGGTGGTGGGCACATGATACTCTATGCAGATTTTGTAACTTAGTAATCCACACATGAAACCTGTATGTTCGTGTTGACTAACGTCACCCCAATATAATTTAATAAAAACAAGTGGCAACATGGTATAAAGAAAATGAGTACAATGGTCTCCCCCTTATCTGTAAGATATATTTCAAAGCCCCCAGTGGATGCCCGAAACCTTAGACAGTACTGAACACTATATATACTATGTTCTTTCCTATACATACATATCTACACTGAGTGGCCAGATTATTATGATAGGCCAGATTATTATGACCACCCCATCAGTACAATGAAGTGAATTGGTTATGCAAATAATAATAATAATAATAATAATAATAATTAAACTTTGAGAGTATTTGCTTAGGAAGTTTTCAATATTCAGTATTTTTGGAAGTATCAATGAAGTACTGATGGGGTGGTCATATAATCTGGCCGGTCATAATAATCTGGCCACTCAGTGTAATTTATAAAGTAGGCACACTGAGAGATTAACAGCAATAACTAATAACAAAATAGAACAATGATAAAAATTAAAATAAAATTTAAAAAGCCACAGGGTGAGGAGGGAATAGCAATAAGCAAGTAAAAATGACTCAAGATCAGATCCTAAGACCAAAGAATTGCCCATATAAACAGTGACTTGCATTGGCATCTCCCGAGTTCCTATGGCCAATGTCAACAGGAAAATGCCCTTGGGTTGGTAGGCTTCTTCCAGTTTCACAGGACCAGTATTTTCAAGGCCTTTCTCTCCCCGGTTCCTGACAACCTGCGCTTTGTATTACCTATAAACACAGCTCTTTATTCTGACCAACAGTATATTTTTAAATATCCTTTGTGTGGCTCCTACTTGATAATAAAAAAGATTGGAACATGAATGACGGTAAACGCAGAAATCATTTCATCGTCCTTCCAAAAGTAAGGTCTCATTCACTGGTTGTCAGCCTGGGGTGAGTTTGTGCCCCAGAACACATGTCCGGTGATGTCCGGTGGCGTCTTTGTTTGTCACAATTGAGGGGGTGGGTGCTACTGGCCTCTTGCGGGTAGAGGCCAGGGATGCTGCGAAACATCCCACAGTGCGCAGGACAGCCACAGCCCCAACAAAGAATAATCTGGTCCCCAAGGTCAGTGGTACTGATGTAGGGAACCCTGGTTTAGTTAACGTGGCATCCGGCCTGCAGGGACCCGTGCTGGCTGCTGCACCCTTGAGCTAGTCTGAGTGGAAAGCAAGAGCATATGGAAATGTACAATTTTCTTGCAAGTCTATCCTCTAACCCAGCGGTTCTCAACCTGTGGGTCGCGACCCTTTTGGCGGTCAAACGACCCTTTCACAGGGGTCGCCTAAGACCATCCTGCATATCAGATATTCACATGACGATTCCTAACAGTAGCAACATTACAGTTATGAAGTAGCAATGAAAATAATTTTATGGTTGGGGGTCACCACAACATGAGGAACTGTATTTAAAGGGCCAGAAGGTTGAGAACTACTGCTCTAATCAGAGGTCATGCCAGGTTCTCCTTTGGGCCCATGTGAACAACCATCTCCCCCCGACCCCCCAACCTCCCACCCCCATTCAATACAAGCCTATAGCTTGGAAGAAAGAAATAGGTTTCCATAAAACTACTTATTTTTCATTAGTCTTAGGAACATGTTAATGGTTAAAACTAAAAAGGTTAGAATGTTTCTGCTTCTGAAAATATGGGGCTAAGTCTTTTATTCATGGGCTAATTTTAAACGTTTTTTTAAAAAAATGCACACAAGCCTCTCTCTTTAAAATCCATTTTCTATTAAGATGCAAATGTGATACCTTTTTGCCGGGTGGTACCAAGTTTTGATTTGCTTTGACAAGGTGTGAAAGTGCCTTCTTTATGTTCTTCTCTTTCATGCTCTGCAGCACAGCCGAGGGAAGGAACGTCTCTAATCCCCACTCTTTTCTGCAATAAAGAGCATGGCTTTAATTTCACATCCTTCTGATGGGGAGTTAGCGAAGACAAGATGGCGCTCTGATGTTTGTTGGAACAAACGAAGTCTTGGCAAGGCAGGGAAAGGAGACGAATCCCCAGTTCGGGAAGCAACTTCTAATTTACACTCAGGAAACACTATTTGATCTTTCGTACCCATGTTTGCATTTTTAAAAGAAACACATCGCTCACTCTCCAGAGAGAGAGCAAAGAGGCATTTGGGATTTATGGACACCACAGAGTCTCCATCCAAACCACCCCCGAGGCTCTTCGAGTTCACACATATCTGAGCTGGTATTTCCGACACCAATGTCTCCCCATCCCTTGTTTATTCTCGTTCTCACCTCTCCCTGTCCGCCCACATTCTGTCTCTCTTCTCCGAAAAGGATGGACGCAACTCCTTCATCATGCCCTAACCATGCCTCCCTCCCCATCTCCCTCGTCCATGGCTGTTTCCCTGGAGACACGGCCAGTTCATGTCTACCGAACTCCTTCCATCAACATCTCTGGCTTGGGGCGGAAATCAAGAGGAATGACGCTGGTGTGGAGTCAGGGTGGGGTTCATGACCCTTAAGTTTGTCTGGTATGATGGGAAAGTACAAACATCTCATAGGTATGGATATATTAGGAAACAGACAAACAAATTGGACTGGGTTAATAGTTTTGTTTTTTTTAACCAAGAAGCCATTTCCCTATGACTACAACCCTATCCTAAGGTTCCTTATTTTGAATTTTAGGAACTCTATCCTGGTTGATCATGTGCCCAACCAGTGTCTTCTAAATTATGTGGAGAACTTGAGAAGGTGCCGGCTATTTCTCCTGCTCTAGATCCTCTAAAGAAGGGTAGGAAGACATCCTCCTCCCACTTGACAATTAACCTTCACCTTCACTGGCTCAGATGGTGTTTTTCATAATCACCATTTCCTCCCTCCTCCTCCTTAGCTTGTACTTATTGTCTTTTTAAAAAAATATCTATAATGATAAAAGTGTAATATGCTAATTAGACTGGACAACCTTCCAGAGGAAGCCAGGGCTGCTAGGGAAGCCCGGGTCCCGGGTGCAGAGGGAAGCTGATGCCGGCAGCTGGGGGAAGGAAGGCCTACTCTTGCACAAATTTCGTGCATCGGGCCTCTAGTATATATATATTTATTGATTTCAGAGAGGAAGGGAAAGAGAGATAGAAACATCAATGATGATAGGGAGTCATTGATTGGCTGCCTTCTGCACACTCCACACTGGAGGGGGAGGGGGGGGGAGGATCGAGCCCGTAACCCAGCCATGTGTCCTGAGCGGGAATCGAACCCTGAACTCCTACTTCAAAGGTTGACACTCAACCACTGAGCCACACCAGCTGGGCTGTACTTATTATCTTTACCCATCATTTGGCAGTCCTTAGGGGCTACCTTATAATTCTACTTGTATTATTATTTTAAGTCATTACTTTTCATATCTTTATGTCTTGTCTTTATGATCATATCACAGGTTGATGGATGATTAAGATTATAATTTATACTTTCTACTGTCCCAGCGTGAATACCATATAAAATGCTCAATGAACATTTGTTGGGTGTATGAATAATTAATGAAAACATTATCTCGTAGATGCTACAAGATTCTCAGTCAGGTTAGTTATCTCTGGAAATTTTTGACTACCATGTTCAACCTGGGAAAATGTGGGTCCAGAGAGTATGGCCAGAAATACATTTCGGGTATCTGAAATTCATCTCAATTGGTGCAGGCCACCCTTCCAACTGGGAGCCATTTTCATCCACTCCCAACAACTTCAGAAAGGGGAGTGGGTGAGGGTCTGAATGTGTCTATCTGAATGCAAGACCTCTTTTGGAGCGACTCTCTCAGGCTACAGTCATAGTGCATTTGGTAAGAGAGAAAGAGAGAAAGCATCTGTGAAAAGGAGTGGCCGGGACTGGAAGACCCGAGGTTCTCATACTGCACACAACAATTTCTCCGTAGGTATTGAAGGAGAACTGAGTTGTAAGAACAGTCGCGTTGGAGTCAGTAGAAGAAGGCTGTCTTCCTACCCTTCTTTTTTTTTTAAAAAAATGTTTTTTTATTGATTTCAGAGAGGAAGGGAGAGGGAGGGAGAGATAGAAACATCAATGATGAGAGAGAATCATTGACTGGCTGCCTGCATGCCCCCCACTGGGGATGAAGCCTGCAACCCGGGCATGTGCCCTGACAGGCAATCGAACCCTGACCTCCTGGTTCATAGGTCGATGCTCAACCACTGAGCCATGCCGGCTGGCTGTCTTCCTACCCTTCTTTAGAGGATCTAGAGCAGAAGAAATAGCCAGCACCTTCTCAAGTTCTTCCCCTAATTTAGAAGACACTGGTTGGGCACATGATCAACCAGGATAGATTCCCTAAAATTCAACACAGGCTCACAGGCCTGTGGAGAAGAAGCCACAGTGCCCCCTGGGGGTCACCCTGGCACTATGGGATTCAGAATGGCTTTTAGGCAGCCCCTGGGGCCAGAAGGTGGGATTGCAATGAGCCTGTACATTTGTTGGAGGAAGAGATGGAGGGGACATTAAGGCTTTTAGTGTCAGATGGAGGTGTAGCTTCAGCCCTGCCAAGAACTTTGAAATATGTGTGTTCCTTTGTCTTAGCATCAGAGCTGCCAGGATTAAGAAGGTATGGCTGCTTTAGGGTATGAATCACTCACCCATGGGGAGCGTGCAAGCATGTCAAACTCGTGACTGGCGGGCCGCATATTTGACATGCTAATAAACAAGGCATGCGGCCCGCCAGCTGCGAGTTTGACATGCTTGGACTGTCCAGATCGGGTGACGGAGGGGTCTCTTTTTCAAGGACGACCCTTAAACAGACTCATCAACTGAAGGCGACACAAACTGCCTTTTCTAAGGAGAGGGGCTCTTCTCTGGTCAAAGCGGTGGCACACTGATGCTGCAAGTGGGTACTCGGCAAGACAGGCAAACACTGATCCATGAAGCAGAGCATGGTCCTGTCGCATCCTTCCCCGCTCTGTCACAGTTCGTTACTGCAAACACCACCCTTCCCGACTGCGACTTAGGACATTGCTATTCGTGCCGCATTCTGACCGTCTAAAATAACCTGGCCTGTGCAGATCGCTCTCTAAACACAGGTGCTTCGAATGAGCACACAAACTATAGTGCAATGTGGACTCTTCCTGCCTGGGTTCGAATCCCACCCTCTCTAGCCTGTGCGACTGGGGCAAAATTACTTCACCCTTCTGTGCCTTGGTTTGCTCCTCTAGAAAATGGAGCGAACACCTTTCTTATCTCACAGGGATGTTGTGAGAATTAAGCAGCTTAACGCCGGAAAAGCGACGAGACCAAAGGTTGCTTGGAACCAAGTCTGTGTAGGAGTTTAGAAATGTGTTTCATTTTCAATCTGACCCTCATTTTAACTGCAATTCTCCAAATGTCTATTATGTAAGAAATGGATCTCTTCCACCCAAAATGAACCTGCCAGTCGTATATTTCTCCCATGTTTAACCAATGGTCTGCCACACCAAGATCCAGTTTGGAAATAGACATAGGTCAAACATGCACTTGGCCGTTAAGGGGGGCAGCAACTTCGTCTCCGAAATGAATCCCAGGAAACACTTACTCGATGTATTTGAGAGAGATTTTCTGCGTTTGCTTGGTGGTAACGGTTGCGATGTACATTTGCAAGGCCGCCAGCCGCAGGGCTATGTCGTATTTCAGCTCCGGCCCAAATCGCTCCTGTACGACATCGTTACAACTCTGCAGAGAGACCAGCAGGGGGCGCAGCTCGTCAAAGAATGGGCCCAGGCACTGCCTGGTTGGAACAGGTGACCACATCCCCCCTCACTTCAGAGGCAAGGAGGCTAAATGTGGAAACATCTCCCCCGCGCTGCTTGCAACGAGTCAATATTGAATCGCGCTCACAAACAGACAGACCACGCAAAATATTTACCATCCATCGACAAGCGAGCTGCTATTTCAATATTTAGCTTTTTGTAGAAAGAATTAGGAATTCAGGTATGGAATTTCCAAACACAGGTGCTGCAAGTGAACACACGAAGCCCTGCAGGCATGGTGGTGTCTGGAGTTAGGCTGCTGGGCTGGGGATCCGGGCTTCCAATCCCCTCCCTCCGCCTCACCAGGGCATGACACTGGGAAAGGGCCTGGTTCTGCGCCTCAGTTTCCCCTTCTGTAAACTGGGGTTGATACTGCTCCCTGTTCACAGGGTTGTTGTGAGGGCGACATGAGTCAGCATGTAAAGCCCTGGCAACTCTCCCTGGTAAAGTGAAAGCGCTCATACGTGCTAACAGCTGTCACCACCACCTTCCTCTTTGTCATCATCTAGAGCAGCTTTGGGGAGGCGGCATGAGCCAGGCGATGAGGGGCGGCGTCCTGGCTTGGCCCGGGACCGCCTGTGCATGTAACTTGGACCCGTTTGCTTTCTCCCGCAGCCTCAATGTGCTCCTCTGTGACATGGGCATTCACACCAACCACCTCCCGTAGTGGTGGCGGCTCAGACGGGATGCAAAGAAAGTGCTTTATCACAGCGCACCGTGCATTCGGGAAAGGGGAGCTAGTAAAACCTTCAGTTCAGCCCTAGCCGGTTTGGCTCAGTGGCTAGAGCGTCGGCCCACAGACTGAAGGGTCCCGGGTTTGATTCTGGTCAAGGGCACGTACGTTGGTTGCAGGCTCCCTCCCTGGCCCTAGTCAGGGTGTGCAGAAGGCAACCAAAGCAATCAATGTGTCTCTCTCACATCGATGTTTCTCTCTATCTCTCCCCGTCCCTTCCACTCTCTCTAAAAATCCATGGAAAAGTATGCTCAGTTCACGCCAGTGGTGACACTGACGGTCATTCCACGGCTCTCGACCCCAGTTTGCTCAGCTGTAACAGGGAGCCACGTAGCTCACAGGGCTTGCGGGAGCGTCACATTGAAGAGCGGCTGAGGGAGTTGTAAAGCGCAACATCCTACATCAGGGGAATGCCTGGCCCGCGGGCCGCAGAAGGACCGCAAAACCATGTGGTCTGGCCCTGCCGAGGCGTGAGGGGCGAGTTCATTCAATGTCTGGCCAACTAGAGCAGGCTCATTTTCAAGTTGATGATTTTGTAGGGCCCGAGAATGATGTTATCAATATCCCAATGGCCCTGGGCAGAAAAAAGGTTCCCCACCCCTGTCCTATATGACAAGCGACCGCTGTTAGGGCGACATCCTCCTCCCTCATCAGGAGCGAAGGACCAACCCAACCGCATGTCCCTGGCAACTTGGCCTAACCTCCATTCTGCACGTGTGTGTCCTTGTTTTTGTTCTGGGAAACGAGGCTTGGGGCTAGACCAGGGGTGGGCAAACTTTTTGACTCGAGGGCCACAATGGGTTCTTAAACTGGACCGGAGGGCCGGAACAAAAGCATGGATGGAGTGTTAGTGTGAACTAATATCAATTCAAAGTAAACATCATTACATAAAAGGGTACGGTCTTTTTTTTTTTTTAGTTTTATTCATTTCAAACGGGCCGGATCCGGCCCGCGGGCCGTAGTTTGCCCACGGCTGGGCTAGACAATCTATAGCAGACACCTGCGTCAGCGTTTGTTTGCCTCCTTTCCAAACCTACCGATTTCACTAAACCAGAACATGTGTGCCCCCCCCGCACCCCCCCGTGTGGTTCCTCACAGTGTTTACCTTCACATCCTCGTCCGTGTGCACTGGCGCCAGCAATGCACGTCCCACCCACGTGCTCTGGGTGTGTGCCCCTTCCCCCTTCACCAAGAGTGACGTCATTCCCTCCCCTTGCCTCCCTAACATTTGCTCCCCCTTAGGATCTGACACCGTCAGGGGTGCAGGGGAAGTGGGTCTGACTCGAGGCGGGCATGTCACGTGAGAGCATTTGGTCCTGCTAGTCTTGGGGTGACCAGTTCTTTCCAAGCGCCCAGCGCTGTCCAGAACGGAGCAGCACGGGCCTGGGGGCCCAGAGCGGGTCATTTTATAGTCCCATCGGGATGAGGGGGAGGGAGCCCCCCAGCGCAGGGCCAGGCCGTAATGGGCAGGCGACTCAGCTTTGTGATGCATCACTTTTCCCCACGGCTGCTATCGCCTAATGGCCTGGAAACAGGATTTTAGCATCGGATTCAGAGATACGAGCTCCAGGTTCGAGCCTAGGCTCTGACAACTATTCATCAAATGACCTTGGACGTGACATTTCATCTCTCTTACGTCTCGGTTTTCTTATATGAAAAATGGGCTAAAACAGCTAAGTCAAGGCTGCTGCTATACTTGTAAGGATGTTTCATCAAATGTCATGTGCCTTACAAAGGTGAGTCATCACTCTTGCTTCTAAGAGTTGTGACTGGAACTGTGCTTCCCATCCCTATTATACTGTGTGTGTCTCCTGTATTTGAAAGGGACTTCTGGGTGAATGTCTTATCAAGGTGATTAGCCACTTAATTACATTATACATAATGTGATTACATCTAATTCGTTCCGACTACTCCTGGAGAATTCATGTGAAGTCTGACTTACATATTTGGGTACTAATCATGCTTTTATGACCCTCAACTCCTTTCCTTAAAATACAGTTACACAAGCAAATGGTGAGCATTCTTCCTAATAGAGACTCCAGTTTAGTCCTACAGGAAGTTCATTTACAACGAACAGCTAGATGTTTAAAAGGAACCAGATCCCGCTAGTGTTGAAAAACACATCATAGCCTCAGGTACTACCTTGTTTACTAACTTGGCGAAACGATCTTTTTCTTAATGGATAGGGGGCGGCTACATGTGAGCGTGGCTCATTACACTTATGAATGAGAACAGTCTGGATTGTTAAGATTTACGCTATTATAGATGCTGAAGTCTCGGCCATACCTCAGGTCCCATCAATGACCAGGAGATTAATAGATATTATCACCATTGAAACCTGTTTTCATTGCCACGGTCCATAGTCAATGGCTACTGTCCTCATTAGAGGCCCGCTAGGCTGAGTCCATTTTTGTCTCTCTCTCTTTTTTTAAATAAATATATTTTTATTGATTTCAGGGGGGAAGGGAGAGGGAGAGATAGAAACATCAATGATGAGAGAGATCATTGATTGGCTGCCTCCTGCATGCCCCATATTGGGGATCAAGCCCACAACCCGGGCATGTGCCCTTGACCGGAATCGAACCCGGGACCCTTCAGTCCGCAGGCCGATGCTCTATCCACTGAGCCAAACCGGCTAGGCCATTTTTGTCTTGGTAATGCGATATATATTGCTTCTGCTTACGCTTTTGTTTTCTAGGCTAATTTTATTGCATCTTTTTAGCACCTTCGAATCAACATGGGCCCACAGCACCATCTGCGGAGCCACTGGCCGCTGCGAGGCGGAAGCTATTTTAGACACACCGCACATGGTGCGCTGCGAGGCCTCTGGAAGGAGAGGGTCTGAGTCCAAGAAATTCTCCTTTCCTGTTCTCAGTGGAAGAGAGAAAAGGTGATGATGGCAGCTTCCTTTCAGTCTCTGTCACCTGCCCCACGTGGCTACCCACAGCCCCCATGGGCTGCCGTTGAAGGGGTCGCTAATCCACCACCCGTGCAACACCCAAGGTCTTGGGAAGGTCTATTCCGGGGGGGCAAGATCCCTGGACAGGTTTCTTGTTCTCAGGACAATCCCGGGGTATACAAGATGGGTCTTGCCCTAACCGGTTTGGCTCAGAGGATAGAGCGTCAGCCTGCAGACTCAAGGGTCCCAGGTTCGATTCCGGTCAAGGGCATGTACCTTGGTTGCGGGCACATCACCAGTGGGGGGTGTGCAGGAGGCATCGATTTTTCTCTCTCATCGATGTTTCTAACTCTCTATTCCTCTCCCTTCCTCTCTGTAAAAAATCAATAAAATATATATTTTTTTAAAAAAATAAATAAATAAAAGATGGGTCTTCTGCTCATCCTCACCCGAGGATATTTTTTTTAAATATATTTTATTGATTACAGAGAGGAGGAAGAGAGAGGGATAGAGTGTTAGAAACATCAATGAGAGAGAAA